TCAAACGACTAAAACGTCTTTTAACAAGGAATTTGTCAGATTCAGTAGGCATAGTTTTAGTGGTTTACTATCATCAAGACATTACTTTCTGAACAAATCTGAACATGTAAATAAGTTTATATAGATCATAGATCGACCTAAACAACATTACAAGTGTATCTGTCAACTTGGGGAGATCACTCACAACTATTTCACCAAATATACTTTGGCAGGTGCAAATATACCTGGTCGGCCGAAGTAAAGTTTGTCAAAAACACTGTATTTAAAGTTAATGCAAGCTGTAGGCCTATATTTTGTAAATATTACACATTGGACCAATTTCATTGTCTTCCAGCTGCGTGTCACGTGACTATTTTGGTCCAGTCATGATTGAGGGATCATGGAAGGTCTGAACTGAACCGTCAATTGGGTTGAATTGGGAAAGTAGTTGGCTTTATTCTCCTAGTCATCACATCAATAACAATGAAATTTCACTGTTAATAGTAGATTTGTCCCAATCTGTGTTGACTGAACACCGTGGCTATGGCAAAGTTAAACTCACCTGGAGGTCATAAATCCTTAGGATGTTCGCAGTGCCTCTGCTGTCTTGCCTGTCTGTGAGACTTTACTGCATTGACACAGTGTTATGATTATGATTTCAGTCAGGTAATAAATGGCTCAAGGACCATAAAGGCGTTATAATAAGGTAATAACAGCCTTTCACACAGTCTATAGTAAAAAGAGTTCCACAATCTCTTGATCAATGCCGTTAATTCAGGTATCAAAATCTGTGACAGTAGTAAATTGCTTCTTTTCATTTTAAAGTGTCATACACTGGGAAATGCTTTTGGCTCCTATAGAAGCAATGCACACAGGCAGGTTATTTATTCTGTACCGCTGAGGGAGGAAGAGACCCTTAACTTGCTTTTAATAATGAAGCCAAAACATCCCTGTATGGTCCTTATAATGCCTTTAACTCTAGTCTTTCAAATCTGTGCAGTATAAAAAGCATAAAGTCCAAATACCCTGAAATAATTAAAAGTAAAACAATACCAACCCTGATGCTGAGATATGCAGATTTTTAGATAATGTCATGTCACTCAGTAATCACTTTGATTCTGTGGGAGCAGATATAACAAACAATATAATTAATTCCCACAAGTCCAGTCAACAACATCATCATCAAATGCTGCTTTTTTCAAATATGATATTTTATAATTTATCTGACTCACCTGTACAGTAGCTGCTCTTGCAGTCAGGTGATTATGGGCATGATGAAATTCCTTCAGCAGCACTCTCTATAGTCCTTAAAGGGCACACAATACAAGAACACCATCTATTTATTAGGTTACAAAATAATGGTAAATATCTCTCACAAGCACGAGATATGGGCAGAGCTGAATGTTTCTAAGACTTAGTTACCAGTTTAATAATTACATCTACAGTAGTTAAAAAATAGTCTAATCAAACATTCCTGCCATAAATCCTTCCTTCATACAAATGATAATGTGCAGCGTTTTGCAAAATTACTAATAATAAGTATGATCATTTTGGAAGCTGCAGTTTGTTGTGCTGCTGTTGAAGTGTAGCACATGGACAGGTGTTTCTGTTATTACGTCCATCCCATTAATATCTGTGAGGCCGCGTTAAATAACAGAAACGCGTCTTGCATACAATACAGTTCACCTGTCCACATGTCATGACACCACATGATAAAATAGATTCATCAACAATGGAAAATCTCTACAGTAAACTCCTTTAAAAATAACGTTACAGCCGCTTGAGGCAACTAACGTTAGTCTCTGCAATAGAAGGGCTGAACGGTAACGTTAGGACTTTCTGAGTAAGGTTACATCTTACTACAAATACTTAGCTTATCAGACTTGACCGCAGAGCTTGACTGTCTCCACATTATACAGATAGGGCTTACATAACTACAGCACAAGTTACCGTTACCTCAGTGTTAGCCAGCTTAACTACAGTTAGCCTTTCTGTTAATATTACTGCACCTGACAACAGACAGCCGACATCTGATAAACTTTTTTACTTACCAGACCAAAGCGCAGGTATCAAGGAGCAGCTCCAGACTTTAAATAACATGTGGTTGACGACTGTCTGGCAAACGTTTCAGTCACTTGGATACATTAACGTTACTTGTAGCTAACGTTAGCAGAGCAGTAACGTCCGTTAACGGGCCTCCACATAACGGACTTAGTTGTTAAAGTAAATAAGTAAATAAAACAGTAAAAGTTGTGTTTGTGTGTAAATAAAAAATATATAAAATATAAAAATTCCCTAAAAATTAATATTAAAAATAAAAGTAAATAAATAAAACAGTAAGCGCGTGTGTGTGTGTCTGAAATTTAAATAAAATAAATAAATGAAACAGTAATGTGTTTGTATATATATTAATAGACAAAAAAATTATTAATAAAATAAAATAAATAAAAATCAGTTTCAAATGTGAAATTTAAATACAAAACATTTACTAAAATATCAAGCAATCAAAATAATAATAATTTGAAAATTAGTACAATTATTTATCAGTCTGAGTTTCCACTGGTTGGCTTCAGTTTGCGCCATGAGGAGAGATTTTGCAACAATTATTTGACATTTGACATTTATCTATATAGTAAAATATTTTAGTTGGATGTTTACAATTATATGAGAAGGAAAACTTGACAATTCAACAACAATTCAGTTTCAGGATATAGACATTCTTAAGTATTGTGTTTTGTATGTACATGTTACCCTGATATTGACACTGTTATGTGTTCTCTAAAATAAAATATAATAACTTACAATTGAGCTATAAATATTTACTCAGAAGCATTGATCCTTTTCTTTGGTACTATACCACATAGGACATGTACTGTGTGGTAAATGTATGGCTCTGGAACAGCCTGCCCGAGGAAATCAGGTCGGATGAGTCAGTAAACTCTTCAGTAAAGTCCCTTCTTAAAACATACTTTTATAGGAGAGCCTTTCCTGATCTTTCATCCATCCATCGTCAACCACTTATCCTGCGTACAGGGTCGCGGCTTTCCTGATCTTATTTGAATTTTACTTTATCCCTTTTATTTCATTCTATTTTACGTATTTTATATTTATCCTAATTGTGTATTTTAGTCTTTTCAATGTTTTCTTGTTTTTGAAAAGTGCTCTACAAATAAAGATTATTATTATTACAGTACCATAGGACATGTACTATGTGGTAAATGTGTGATAGATCTATGGTATAGTGTACCACAGGTTCTCTCTTGCATCGACTATTTCTTTGCACTTCTGAAGGCCGGCTGAGCGAGATCAAACAACTGGGTGTGTGTCTCACCCACTGAAACCAAGCTTTTGTCTTGTTAATCTGGAGGGCAATCCAAAGCATTTAACAGAGTACTTGTACTCCTGTTGTACTCTTAAACACAGGACAAGAATCGTGGGGCAAATAAGAGTTTGCAGCAGTGAGGTAATTGGTCATTCCAGCCAAGCAATCTATCCACCATAACATCAAACTACAAATCGACTCCTCAACCATCACTCCAACCAAGGTGGTGAGAAACTTGGGTGTCATGATTGATGACCGGCTGTCCTTTTCATACCATGTTGCTACTGACTCTTGGTCATGCCGCTTTTCTCTATACAACATAAGGAAAATCAGGCTCCTACCTCACTCAGTACGCCACCCAGCTTCTGGTACAGGCCATGGTTATCTCTCGCATCGACTATTGCAATGCCCTCCTAGCAGGTCTTCCAGCTTGTGCGGTGAAACCCTTAGAAATGGTTCAGAACGCAGCAGCGCGTCTGGTTTTTGATCAGCCCAAAAGGACTCATGTCACTCCATTACTCAATGACTCCACTGGCTCCCCGTGGCCTCCAGAATCAGATTCAAGTCACTAATGCTGCATACAGAGTGACTACTGGGTCTGCACCCATCTACCTAAACTCCATGATACAAACTTACGTTCCTTCTTGGCCGCTACGCTCCTCCAACGAACGCCGCCTGGCTCTGCCATCCCTTCACACAAAGCAATCCCAGTCCTGGCTACTCTCATCTGTGACACCACGATGGTGGAACGAGCTACCATACGCCATCAGAGCAGGGGCGTCCCTCTAACTTCAAGGAACTCTTGAAAACTCATCTCTTCCGAGAACACCTCTAACATGCACTTCCTGTGCTCTTCTTCTTCTATCCCCTACAATGATCTTGTATTGATTGCACTTTTTGTTTTGATTGCACTTTTTGTTAACTCTTACTTCCTTCCCTAGGTATCTACCCCATTGATGTGATATGTACTGTGAGCTCTTACTAGTATTTATTGCTGCTCTTACTAGTATGTATTGTCAGTTGTAGATCTGTAGTTGATGCTCTGTTGATGCTTGTATGTTGTTCCTCAAATGTAAGTCGCTTTGGATAAAAGCATCTGCAAAATGAGTAAATGTAAATGTACTGTAAGGTCGTACAACATGAATACCATAGGAACATTTTCTAGTACTACAGGACAGACCGACCACAGCAGGTCAGAATAGGTAAGCAGACCTCCTCCACCCTCATAAACACAGGAACCCCACAGGGCAGCGTGCTGAGCCTCTACACCCACGACTGCACCCCCAACCCCATAATCACACAGGCAGACGACACCACTTTACAGGAGCTGGGCTGGTTTGAGACAATGAGGGGACGGGCCGCAGGCGTGAAGTGGAACATCATGGCTGAGTTCAGGAGAACAAAGCAGAGAGTCCACCTCCCCCTCACACACACGGAGAAGCAGTGGAAAGTTTCATAAAGTTCCTCTGAGTCAATGTGTGAAAACAGCTGACATGGTCCTCCAACAGCTCACAGCTGGTTAACAAGGCCCAACAAAGACTCTTCTTCCTCACAAAGATGAAGCACACACACTGCTACCACAGACACCATTTAGAAATACAAAGACTGAGCATCTGTTGATTCATTATGTAACATTCACCTCTGTAAATGTGTTATTTTAATCTGTTTCAAAGTCCAGGACTTTTAGTTTACAGCTGTTTTCTAGTTCTGCTGTCATTTATTTGTTTTATTTTAATTACATTAACAGAAGCATTACGACACGTCATTGTACCTGAGTATAAAAACAATAAAGATCATTCAAATCTGACTTCAGTAAAATCATCACAGCAGTCTGACGCGCTGAACCAACTTCAGCAGCTACAGAGAAGCTGCTTTGTTTCAAACAGGCTGTGAATCTGCTGCCTGAGCAACGGTAACTAAGGGGCGGGGCGAGACGCCGTGACATCGCGAGAACACTCCGCGGGATCCCGCAGCGCTCCTGTATCTCAGCCTGAAGAGCTCCGAGACCAGAATCCAGACTCAGTCCAGGACAACACGGTCCACCAGTCACAGCGGAGACCTGCAGGACGATGGAGAACCAGAACCCGGACCGCAGGAGCCAAACAGCAGCCTCGTGCTCTGATAGCGCCGATGTTCAGGTCAGTGTTCATGACTTCATCACGAGACTAAAGACACGAGGAAGAGTCTCGAGGGTCCGTGTATCATCCGTTCATTCTGTTGTTAGAGATCAGAGCCTGAAAACCCGCTCCAGGGTTTGTGTTGACGTGGTTTGATTTCCAAAGTGTCTCCGTGATTCCTGTTTTCATCTTGAAGAGAGGAAGCTGAAAGAAACATTGTGAGTTTTCTTTCAGCTTCCTCTCTTCAAGATGGCGTTTCTCTTTTCTTTGTGCTGTGAGTTTTCCCGCGCGGCGCATGCGCGGTGCAGCCCGTGTTGTGTCGGGAGCGCGCAGCAGAAACAATTCTGGTGAAAAGTGAAGCAGAGTCATTATATTTCCTCGTGTGTTGGTGAGTTTATCACAGTGACAAACAGTCTGCCTGCGTTATTATTCTCTGAATGACCTGAGACAGGAACGAACATGAGCTGCAGTTACTTCAGCTGTTTCTGAAGTTACACAACAATTTATTTATTTTATCAGTTACATGCTTTCAATGGTAATCTAATACAACCTGCACAACAGCTTGATCAAAATGTGTGACAATCAGTAATCCTGTTAAATAATAGTGATCTCAAGTTTGACCAAAACAATCCTGATTGTGATCATTACCATAATCAAGCAGCTGTAGCTGCCATATAATGCAGTGGGTTTGATGACTGACCTGAATATTTTATTACAGCAGGCTGTAACTGGTGGTTGAATGTTTATATTGATACCATAGAAAGCCCCTTTATGCCCTGTCAGCCAAGCAAAAATTTCCTCACATTTCAATGATTTGTTTGACACATTGCTGTGAAGCTGGTTTTGTTTCTTTTCTGGAAAATGAACACTTTGATGATTTTGGGTTGGTTGACTGTCAGGGTCCAGATTGACAGGAGTTGCTGTAACTTCAAGTTATTTTATATCCCTTCTGGTTTAGCTTTGTGATCTGGTTGGAAATCTATGACACGACCCGCATAAGGTTTTTTTAAGACAAAGACCCCCTGATCTGCACATCCTCGTGTGTTGTGAGTTTATCACAGTGACAAACAGTCTGCCTGCGTTATTATTCTCTGAATGATCTGAGACAGGAACGAACATGAGCTGCAGTTACTTTTGGACCTTATTTGACGCAAGGAGGCAAATCATTTTAACAGCATATTACATACCGTTACATCACCAAGGTTCGAATTCAGTTAAATAAATTTGATATCTTAAACAATTGTGTTTGATACCTGATTTTAAGCCAGTTGGATATATTTTGTGTAAGTTAAGATAAGTTTATGTTCATGCTTGCTGGTGACTTGCTGAAAGCTGTCTGAACAGAAGAGGCCCCTATATTCATTATTTTCAGATGTTTGAATTAAATATTAAAAATTATTTAAATGCTCCGTATTTATATAGTGCCTTTCTAGTCTTTTCAACCACTCAAAGCAACCAGGGTCCAGGTTGACAGGCGTTTATGTGTTGCTGTAACTGCTCCACCTCAAGTTTATTTACATCCCTGGATTTATGATCTGGTGGACAATTTATGCAACACTCATGACACGAGTGAAGGATCCTACTCTCTGTTTTTTAATCATATTTAATTGGCCACGATACTGGGTTAGAGTGGTTATAGCCTAGACTACTTTTTTTTTGGTACCGGGATGGTGCTGTTCCAACAGGTTGATCTAATGCTGGACTGGGCCCGGCGCCACAAGGGGCCAGTTGTATTTTCTGCCCCCACCCCCACGGGCAAAATTTACCTGCTGTTTTTTGATTGTAGCCTAGACCTAGTTTTCCCCATACAATATTCAAGTCCCCCAGTCTTTTCCTAAAAGCATTTTCATTTTCGCTCTATTAATTTCTCACTCCTGTGTAGCTATTGCAAAACCTTCTACACAGGTATGCAGACTCGCTCAGCAACAAGAGCCTGATGGTGGGGAGGTGAGGACAGTGATGTGTCTTGGATTCATTCTGCATCTGACGGCTCATCATCTGACAGTGACCCACTTGCACAGAGTAAACATGCACAAACTGTGCTGTAGGCCTATTCATGTTCAGTTGCCATACAGGAAGGCCAGGCTGAGTAGACTTTGAGGGAGCCACACAGGACAACACAGTCAGAGGGTCTAAATTATTTCAGAATTAGTTTCCTCTGTCCTGTCAAGTTTATAACGTTTTGCTGCTCCTATACCCCACGATTGTTGTGATCACGCCACTATTTTTTGACTATGCCTGTGTTTTTCCCTTTGGAAGAGAACCCCGCTACATATATCATCTTGTAAGTGAAGCATGGCACACAACATCAGGGCTTGATCATTTTATTAGCACTGCAGATGCCCGTGCTGTTTCTCGATAAATGAAAATCCTGTATGTGTGAAGCTTCCATGTCTGATCATGTACCATTTGTTATGCTGTTTTCCTGAGATTGACCAATGAGTGTAATGGTGCCTGCAAAGCTAAACTGGGTTGGGCTAAGCTCACAAATGAAGATCTGTTGTTGCTGTAGGAAATCAGATGTTCTTTTGAGCAGTGTATATTTACCAAAAAGTGTAATTATGAGTTCTAATGAAACTGCTCATCGTGAAGCTCTCTGTGCTGTATGAGGCAAGTAGGCCATACTTAGTTTGATAAGGCTCATAACATCAAGCCAGGCTGAAGTTGGAATAACTTTGCAGCTGCACATAATGCGGACGCTAAGGAGGCATTTAAGTACGGCTGCACAATTTGGAGAGAAGGTCATATTAAGATTATTGTGGGCAATAATGCACTTTGTGATTCGATTATAATGGAACTAATGGTACTGTGAGTCTACTAATATATATAATATATATATAATAATTTGTTCGTTCAAGTTGAGAAATACAAAAATTTGTAACAATATTTATAACAGAACAAGGGGAGCGTGTTGTTCTACAGAAGAAACAAGAAACAGTCACGCACACTAAATAAGCAACACAGCACAGCCACAAGAGCAGGAATAATAACAATTAATTTAAATAAGAAAAGCAATTAATTTAAATAAGAAAAGCATCAGGAATAATTCTACCAGGGACAACCTAAATTTGTTTATGTCTGTGTGAGACTGTGTGGGTGAATGTGTCTGTATGTGTGTGCGCATAAGCCTGTTAAAGAATGTAGTGGTTAGTGAGAGTGCCACACCTACAAACCGGAGCACAGCCCTGCCCCGCACCCACACTGCACATCCCTAAAACTAACTATGTACCTCAGTATCCAACAACTGGCCGACAGAGAAATGGGGAAGCATGGATTCGAGGCCAACGAAGCAAAACAGGGACGCGTCAAACTTCTCTTAATATCCCACCACATTCAGACTGATTGGTCGGTTGACAAACAAAACTCAAACCCAATGTTTCCAGTGGCCTAAAAATACAGGAAGAGATAGGGTTGCACCATGCTGCGTCACTGAACAGTTATTAATATAATGTGATGTACAGATTAGACTTAAGTGTTACACAGCAATTTGGATTTGCAGCAAATAAATAGTAAACTTTTTCACAGGCATTTTGTATTAGATGGATATCGTGACGTATCACTTTAGGATTGTCAAACGCTATAAAAAAAATTTCCAGCCGACAAGACCTGATCAGCTGGAGTCATCACGCCTGCGTCGGAGGAACTGGATGTTTTAACGAGCTTTATTAGGACCCGAGCATGAACTGTGCAAAGTAAGCGCAATTTCTGGGGACATGTATCTTATGAAGACACACAAAAAAGCCTCAAGAACCCATATCCTAAACTCAACAGGAAGTCAACCATTTTGAATTTTACAGCCATTTTAGGATGATTTACACTCTCCGTACTTTAATGAACTCCTCCTAGGCATTTAGTCCGACTGACTTCAAATTTCTGCTGTGCCTTTTAAAGGCATTGAAGATGAAAAGTTAGTGCTATCTGAGTTTTCGTCAATGGGCGTGTCCGTGGCGTGGCGTCAAAGATCAACTCTTCGCCATGACACAGAAAGTTGTTGTAACTTCAGTGTACATGCTCACATCTGAACAAAACTTTACGTGCTTGATAACTCTCCCACCCCGTAGACATCTACACGCCAATACCGATTTATATTCATAGCGGCAAGTGCTATGTAGCTCCACATAGGGGACACAGGAAGTGACATATAACACCTTCATGCGGCGTCAGAACCACGTAGCAAATTCACAGCTGCAGAGCTCCAGAATATTCAACGCGGCCGGCTCAAGGCTGCTGCAGCTTCAGTGTTTTTCTAAGGGTCCCTGAGTCTTACAATATAGTTGAACTGAACGATTTATTCATGTCTGAAGTAGCATGGAACACGTAAGAAAACAAAAACCCCAAAAAGACAACATTCATAAACTCTGTCTCTTATTTCTTACCCAGAACAATACAGCGGTTCTCACATTTACTTGTAAACAACATTTAACAGTGCTGAATAACAACAACTTTATCTTTGTAAAATCGTGCATGAATGACCTTCGGTGTGATGGATACAGGTTTACACTGGTCTCATTAGTCAGCTGCTTCTAGGTAGCTCGCTCCACCATGACATCTCACTTACTGTCTTTCTCTCTCTGTTGCTATAGAAACGGAGAGGACGCGAGGGACTCCGTCACTGCTGTCACCACTGTGATAAATCCTTCACAACATCTGGACATTTAAAGAGTCATCAGAGAGTTCACATGGGAGAGAAACCGTACAGCTGTGACCAGTGTGGAAAAGCGTTCACTGCATTAGGTACCTTAAAAAATCACCTACGTATTCACACTGGAGAGAAACCTTACAGCTGTGACCAGTGTGGGAAAGCGTTCACTGCATTAGGTACCTTAAAAAATCACCTACGTACTCACACTGGAGAGAAACCTTACAGCTGTGACCAATGCGGGAAAGCGTTCACTGCGTTACGTATCCTAAAACATCACCTACTTATTCACACTGGTGAGAAACCTTACAGCTGTGACCAATGCGGGAAAGCGTTCACTACATCAGGTGAACTAAAAATCCACAGACGTGTTCACACTGGAGAGAAACCATACAGCTGTGACCAGTGTGGGAGATGTTTCTTTCGCTCAGATCACCTAAAAGCACATAAACGTGTTCACACTGGAGAGAAACCGTACCGGTGTGAACAGTGTGGGAAAGGTTTCACTCAGGCAGGTACCCTAAAACAACACTTACCTAGTCACAGTGGAGAGAAACCTTACAGCTGTGGGCAGTGTGGGAAAGCGTTCTTTACATCATGTGCCCTAAAGAAACACCTACGTATTCACACTGGAGAGAAACCGTACAGCTGTGGGCAGTGTGGGAGAAGTTTCGCTAAATCACGTGAGCTTTTGGTACACAGCCGTATTCACACTGGAGAGAAACCGTACCGGTGTGAACAGTGTGGGAAAGGTTTCACTCAGGCAGGTACCCTAAAACAACACTTACCTATTCACACCGGAGAGAAACCTCACAGCTGTGGACAGTGTGGGAAAGCGTTCTTTACATCATGTGCCCTAAAGAAACACCTACGTATTCACACTGGAGAGAACCGTACAGCTGTGACCAGTGTGG